GCCTAGGTTACTTTTCATGTAATGTCAGGTGGGGTCTACAGCCCCCCCCCCCCAACATTGCAGCCCTAGTTGCACCACTGGATATTATATATTTCTAGGTACCTACTACAACTAGCACTATATATGAATATTACATACCTACTGTGCTTATGAATCTATGGACTATCCGACTATGATGTATATAATATCCGATCTAGCGGCCGTCTAAATAAGTAGGCACTCTGGTACTACTAAAAACCTTGTTCAAAATTACCAGTATTTACTATAATTAGGTAGATAGCAGGTATATCTCATACCCATTAGATAATATTATATCTATATCGTTTGGTCAACGCATTATTATATGGGCACAATGGACAATCGTGTTCATACGAAGGTATATAGTTGATTTTCATTGTGTCTATATATAATATTAATATATAATATAATATATTTATATAGGTATATACTATATAGGTATTATATTATAATATATCGGTATAAAACAAGTCTTATACAAAGACATTTTTTTACCATAAGTTTATAAATAACAATAATATTTTAGGTGGTTATTTAATATATATAGCCATATAGGTACAATTCGATATACTAGGTATATAGAATGGTGCGTAACCTTGAAATCAGACTAAACAAATTAAAAAATAAATAACAATTTTTATGATGAGGTAGGAATAGATATTTCAATTTTTTTTTTGGAAACTATTCTGAAAAAAATTTTACTCATTGATTTAAATACCTATTTACCTAGATATAGGTATCATAGACTAATGAATTTATTTAGGGGGGCTATAGCCTATTACGTTTCTGCAGGTACACCACATAATATATTCTAAAAATGTAAGTAAAAAAATGTACGGGATGGGGGGTTAAACAAAATTCCAGGGGGATATAGCCCTCTTATATACCCCCCCCCCCCCCCAATCTTATGCTTAGGTACCTACGCTTTTTGATTAAAAAATAAAAGTACTACCTTTTTACAATACTGTGCTGAATGCTGATTACATATTATTATTATTTAAAAGCCAATTATTCTGATATTATCGATTAGGTACCTACTTTAACTTAATGATAATAATTCCATTGATTACAGGGGGCCATGTGTGGGTGACGGGGAAAGGATGCGAGTATTTCTTTTTATAAAATTCCTACTTTGACTTGCTAATAATAAAATCAAAATACCGACGCCTGTTATATATTTTAATTCGGATACCTACCTACTGCAGAATTATTACCTACTAAGTAGGCAATTACTATGTATTTTTTATTACTTTTTAAATTAATTGTTGCTGTGGTTTATTAGAGAACAAATAATAATAAAAATGACATTCGTAGTAAGTTTAAATTTTAAATCCCAAGCCTATCTGCCTATTAGAACAGGTATTTATTATTCTATATAGGCTACATAGGTAGTGAGTGCTCGGGAATTTATACCATTGGAAATCATGAAAATATGCAGTTAAAATTGTATACAAACGTAAAAATAATATATAAATAAAAACAACATTTTTACGTTTCAAATGTACAACAAAAATGTGCTTATATGCACTAATCAGTAAGAAAAAATACTGAAAACACGATTCTACAAGGTACCGCAGAGGCGTCGAGACAATACTTACACACGTCCGAGGGGAGAGCACGTAGGTAACTTGGTAACTACTTATATAATATAGTCGACCTGCTTAGTCCTGCTGACAGACATAAACTGTTTAACAAAAAACCTGAAAGTTCCTAGTCAAATAATATTTTATCTGTGTTTGATGATTGACAACTATAATTATTGATCTCATTAGCAAACGGCAAATATTTTGATTATATATTATAATTTATAAATTGTTGTACAGTTTACTGTTTCTAAATAAAAAAAAAAGAAATGTACCTATTCCACATATTGTACCACATGTAATACACATGCAAAAATATGCAGTTTTTGTTGGTTTTTAAATGTATTACAATTATTAGGTAATTACACACTTGAAAAATATTTCCATCTTTTGGACTACCTAGTGGCTAGTAGGTACCTATTCAATAAAGGTAGGTACAATAATTACCCAACCCTAAATATACTATAATATTATCAAGTATAGGTAGATATTATATAGGTACCTATGTTGTGGTGTGGTAATGATTGACGTGATGGATTGAATAAACTTTATAATATCCCATGATAATAATTATTAAGATGACCTGATGACGTAGCACCCGCATAATGTTGTCTCCGTCTAACACGTACAGCATAACTGTTTGGGCGTGGGTAAGGACCGAGAAAGCTATAGTCATAACTCATAACTAAGAAATGAGTTTTTCACCACATAAAAAGGAGATCTTTGGCTGTGAAATTTCGCTCGATATCAAAACTTCAAAAAAAAATTATTAAAGTGTGAAAAACACAAATAATAATGGATTTTGAAACAATAAGAACTTTTTTCTCATAAGTGTTAACAAAAAAATAAAAACGATATTGGACAGCCAAAGTTCTCCTTTTTATGTTGTGAAAATTTCGTTTTAGTTATGACTAGCTTTCTCTGTTCTTTCCCGAGCAAAAAAGTTTTTGGTATGTTGTACATTTGTAAGACGCCAAGACAACACAGGCGGGTGCGACGTCCTCTCAAGGAGTTCAATACAATATACATGCAATTTCTTTAATGTATTTTGTATGCGTTCGAATTCGAGCATAAATAAATGCACAAATAATGATCGTTGACATTATTCATGATATAGTAGAGCGACCATTACAGCCGTTCACATGTTAACAATAATAATTGTATTATCTATCTCACGGGTAATATTTTTGACCAAAAAGTTAAAAAATGTATCTACTATTCGTCCATCGTACCGAAAAGTGTAGTGATTTGAAAAATGTTTTACCTAATTAACATTCATACATAACATTTTATTATTTTTAAACATTACCAGAGTATATTATACTCTGTTCAAAATAAAACGATGGCCCGACGGTCGAGTTGCGCGCATGGGCGTGGCTTTGTTCCGTGGCAGCACCCGACGCGTCACCACACTGAATTCTGAACGTCGCGGAACGAAAATTGGTCACCAGTCCAGAGTTGGGCAAAATTTTATCTAGATAATTATTCGAATAAATCTGTATTCGAATAAAAAACTATTCGAATGTTTTTTTTACAATTATTCGAATAAAAAACTATTCGAATAATTTTCAACTATGATTATTTGAATAATTTTCATCTATGATTATTCGAATAAATTTTAAAGACGGTTATACGAATAATTCTTAGTTATTTAATTTGATTAAACATACCTAGTTCATAATAAAATCATTTTTTTAGATATTGCTATTATCGATCTATTAGGATTGTTGTAATAATTGTTATGAAATATTACCATTAAATATTATTCATATTATAATATTATAAAACTATTATTAAAATATAATTTAAAAAAGAATATCTAATTTTCTAATTCTTAACTTTCTTCTATTGATAGATATTTGTTTATTGTTTATTATTCGAATATCTATGTTTAAAATTGAATCGGTTAATTTTTTATTCGAATACATTTTTATTTGAATAATTGTAAAAAAAATATTCGAATGATTTTTTATTCGAATAATAATAGTTGAAAATTAATCGAATAAATTTTTATTCGAATTATTGTAAAAAAATCATTCGAATAATAATTTATTCGAATAAAATGTTATCTAAATAATCATCTAGATAAAATTTCATTCGAATAACGCCCAACTCTGGTCACCACCAGGTCGTCTTATTTTGAACAGAGTTTAAGTACCTAATAAGTACTAATAAAATATTACATCTATTTTATATTTTAGTAAAACCATTTTTATGGACTAAATATTATACTTAGTAGCCAGTAGGATAAATATTTTGGACATCCACCTAATCAATGACAAGGTACACTCGACACATACTATACAATAGTTATTTCCCCAATTATTTAGGTGACTTACACCAAAAATCCATTTCTAAATGAGTTATTCAATGTGCATCATCCTCAAAAAAGAAGGAATCGATGGACATTTGACAGTTTTAATGTCAACATTTAAAATAAATTGCATCTATGGATATTTATTTTACTTCAACCTGTTGTAAAATGGAAAAAGTTGACTAACTAAATTTTAAAAAATGTGTACAAACAATTTTATTCAAACACTAACCATCTCAAAATGTGGATAGGTATTAATTTGTTTTATTATAGTAAATAATAGTATTATTTCTATGTATAAACATTTTTTTTTATATTTTCACTGTTTATCATCTACCTAATTGTATACAGCTTTACTAAATATTAAGTTCAGTATTGAAAATACGAATAGAGTATTATTATTTATTATAGTTATAATTTAAAACTACAAGTAAGACTTTTTTATAACTTTATAAGCATAATAACATTTTATAATTCATATTTCATAATGATATTGTGATGTTAATATTTTATGTCATATATAACTAATCAACAATAGATTTTTAAAAGAACAGGTATAAAACTACAAAACTTCATTATTTTACAATAAAATTGTTTTCAATAAAAGCATGTACAAAATAATTATTGTCCAATGCACTAAAATGCATTTGTCAATTAATATAAACAATCAACAAAATCTAATAAATGAATAATTTATCATCTATTTAATAATTTTTAAATACTAATAAACAACAGCAATGTTATACTCCAGTAATTCAGGAGGATGCATTATGGACTTTTTTCTACATTATACATATTATTGTTTGGGAAATTTGAAAACGAACAACAATATATAAATATATTTATAATTCACATAACTGGATTTGAGATTTTACTTTAATAATTAAAACAAAATATTCAACAAAACTGAAAGTATGCTATTATTAATTTTGAACCAAAGTATATTTAAAAAAAAAAACCAGTATATTGACTTATTCTATTGACAAGGTAAGAAATTAATTGGACGGGGTATCAAGAAATAAACAAAATAAGTTATGTGCAGGGCTTTCTTTTGAAAAAAATAAATATCATTATCAGTACACAGTTTATGCAGCCTTTGCGGACAGTTTGCTGACCAATTCCTTCATCTTTTCAGTAGAGAAGGATTTAGGGCGTTCGATGGGAAGACCAAGACCACGGTCCCAAACCAAAGAAGCTAATACTCCTAGAGCGCGGGATACTCCAAACAATACTGTATAGTAGTTCATTTCTTTCAAGCCGTAGTACTATAAAATAATATTAAAATTGTAAGAATGATTTGGGACAGTATAATAATATTATATACATAAATTATAATATTTTATATCTAGGTAAATTCACGCACCTGTAATAAAACTCCAGAATGAGCATCTACATTGGGCCATGGGTTCTTGACTTTGCCAAGGTCATTAAGTACTGGAGGTACAACTTCAAATACTTGTGATACTAATTTGAACAATGGATCATTAGGTAAATGTTTCAAAGCAAACTCGCGTTGGCAAGTGTAACGTGGGTCGGTTTTACGTAGCACAGCATGTCCATATCCTGGTACAACTTGTCCACTTTTCAATGTTTTTAAAATGAATTCTTTTAGTTGTTCTTTGGTTACCGAATCTCCAACTTCTTTACGTAATTTTTGCAACCAAATTAAAACCTAAGGATGGAATCAATATACATTTATTTTAAATGATTTGTAATTCTGAATTCATATTATTTGATTATATTAAATATTATGATATATTATAGAAAGCTAAAATATTATGTTAAAACTATTAATTAATTATACATGCAAGACTCTTGAGCAAAAGCATACATAGGGGAAGCCCCCTGGGCCGGGCTTATAATGAAATTACAGGTTCAATTAACATATTGTATGCATATTGCTTTATGTATATACTATATTATACATACCCCTGTTGCCTATACGTACTTTTGATGTCATACCTAAGGTTTATGTTTTTTAATAGTCTATATCAGGGTGGTCCAACTTATTACTACTTCTAACTTAACTTTTTTACGTTTTATAGTAATTTTTAGTTTTTTTCTGAAAAAAAGTTATGGTTTTTAATAAGTCTTCTAGAGGCAGGGGAATAAAAAAAAAAAGACTTCGAGGGCTGCTGGTTGGACCACCCTTGTCTATACCATCAATCTCAATTACATAATATGTAGATGGAGCGTTCTATTTTTGAGAAATTGGTTTACAGTCATTTTTCAAAACTAGGTTGATTAAAAACATTTTTGTAGAATCAACAAGGAAAATGGAAGCGTTAGATTATCAGAATTTGCTTTGATGATGATTCATTGTAATATAACATTTATTATAGATGAAATTGTCAATACTTGTTTAAAAAATATACCTTTTTAAAAATTAATTAATTTTACATAATAATTATAATAGGTATAGTAATAAATATTTATAAAATAAAATATTGCAAACTCAATTTCTATTGTTTATACTTTAATAATAAAATAATAACCCCTTGGCTCCCTAAAACATTTCTAGTTATGGCTATATTAGTGCTATACTTGAATAGTGGTAAATGGGCCCTTAGTAATAGTGAAAATAATTCCTATATGTCACTGTTCCTGAGTTTGATAAAATCTCTAATATAAAAGATAATTACCTCTTGGTTAGCAAGTCCATGCAATGGTCCAGCAAGACCACCCATACCAGCACTGAATGAAAGATATGGATCAGATAAAGCGGATCCTACTAAATGGGTAGTATGAGCCGATACATTACCACCCTCGTGGTCAGAATGGATGGTCAAGTACAATCGCATAAGTTCAACAAATTCTTCAGAAGTATTTGCTCCCAACATGGATGTAAAATTTGCACTCCAATCGCGTTCAGTGTCAATTGTGCCAACTTGATTTCCGCCGTGATAAATGTTCCTGTAGATTGTTGCTGCAATTACTGGTAATTTAGCAATCAAATCCATGGAGTCTTCATATGTATACTAGATCAATAAAATTTTAGAATAAATTAAAATGTACTGTGTTGCTGATATAACAACATTAATATTGTATACCTATATTTTGAACACAACATACCTAACTAAAAACAAAAAAATATCCAAATCGACCATTTTTTTATGTATTTTTTATATAAAGTTTGTAAAAAAGTTTTCCAGGTTTGAAAAACTTATTATAAATAACAGATTTTAGAACACAAACTTTTTTTTTGTATTAGTAATGTCAAAAAAAAATAAAAACAACATTGCACTGTCAAAGAACCTACTTCTTATCACATATTTATTTATTTTTTATTAGGTAAATAAAACTTGATATACAATATATTGTAAGAGAAGCATAAAAGGTAAATGTCAAAACAATAGATTGTGAGAGATAGCTTGATGGACGGGAGTGGGGGAAACTGCTCATAGACATCATCGTTTATTATTTAGATGATGTTTTTTTTTTCCATTATTATTAATTACCTATGGATATGAGTATAAGAGCAATAGGAGATTATTGATAGAGTGGAGTTTATAGAATTTTTGAAGATTAATGGTCATATAGGTACTACGGGGCATCAGTTAGTTGTCTAAGACAGATGTTTTCAATCAGTGTGTCGCTTATTATCGTCATATATGTGCGAAGCCAAATTTTTTTTAATTTATATTGTATGTGAATGTGTTCGAAGTATAAATATATTACATTATTGTGACATTATGCAGAAACCTACTAGCTATGCAACTGATCTATATTGAAGAAATAGGTTTTTAATATGGGAATGAAGAAATATACAGAATGGATCAGGGTTTTTTATGTAACATGAAAGTATTATAAATTTATTATAATTAACAATAAAAGAAAAAACCAAGAGAACTTACCTCCCAGTATTGTGACTTATGAACTCCATTAGTATAGGCCTGTACAAATTTGCTTTCTGAATTAAGCAAAGCAACAGCAGATGTTAACTGTGTCATGGGATGTACAGTGTTGGGCAGGTTGTTAAGCATGGTGACAACATGTGATGGCAGTTCAGCGCGTTCAGCCCAGGTTTTAGATACCCATTTAACTTGTTCAGGTGTTGGAATCTCGCCAGTTATCAATAGCCAAAATAATCCTTCAGGAAGAGGTTCGCTACCACCAGGTGCTTTGGGTAATAATTTTTGACATTCAGGAATAGAATAACCACGGAAACGAATACCCTCATCTGCGTCTAATACAGATGTTTCTGTAACTAAAGCCTTGATACCTCTCATACCACCATACATCTAAACGAATAAAAACATTTAATTTATATGAGTATTTTTTTTTTTAATTGGAATTATATATATTTAATTACCATGTCTACAGTTACATCACCGACAACTGTAGATCCATGTTGCTTTCTGAAGGCTTTGATTTCCTCTCCACTCTGCTTTAATTTTTCAGCAACTACAGATTTCAGATCGGTAGATGCACATGCCATTGACCGAGAAGCAGTCCATAATGGAGCAGCGACCTAACAAGCATATTTAATAATTATATTTCAAAATAAATTAAAAGAATAAACGGCTCATATGTTTATTTTATAAAACAAAACGAGCTTTAGCTTAATATACGGATTATACATTTAATACAATACATTGTTAGAGCAATAATTTAATTATTATTAAAACTAGAAAGAAGGGCCTTGATTAGCTAAATACATTTAGCGACATAATGGCTCATTTTGACCATAAATAGTTGAGGAAGTAATGAGTGAGAAAGAAATAGGGTGGCGAGAGATTTGGACAGGGACATTGAAAGAAATTTTGGAAAACAGGTAGGTACGGCAAATCGATTTTCCCTTGTCATAAAAGTACAAATAAAACAAATGAAGAAAATCCCTTTATTTTTCAAAAATGGTAATTTAGTGAGTTTTTAAAAAATATATTTTTTTTTAATAATTACATTTTATTTTAATAGGTATTATATTTAAGAGGTAGGTACCAGATTATCTAAAATAAAATTAGCCAATAGGTCATGTACTTACATATAAATATATAATCATAAAGATCCTACATAATATGTATTAAGAGAAGTACTATTTTTTTTTAATGATAAGATAATATAAAAATAATTTTAAAAATAATTTACAATTAGACAATTAAACAAAGAAGTTTAGACTTATCTATGTAGGTATGGAAATATTATATTAACCAGGTACATAATCATAAAAAATAATCGATTATTTAATTTTTTTTATAATACTGATAAACTCGAGGATAAACTATACATTAGATAATTTAATGATGCGTAACGTTTTTAATAATACTAAATTTTCAATAATTATTTGAATAAGATAACACCATTAGTAATTCAAGATGAATAGGTTTTTTATTCAATCTGATATCTAAACGAAATAATATTTAATTACCTACCTATACATAGTATAATTTCTGCCATTGGCGTCAGTAGAGTCAAAATTCTAGAGGGGCAAAATAATTATTTACAAACTGCCTTCTGTTTATTTATTAAAACATAAAAAAATTGTATTATTTTTTTATAACATAAATATATTTTTTTATATTTAAGTACATAGTATATTTATAATTTTAATTGAACTTTGGTTATCTATATTATGAGAATAAAGCACTCATCAATTTTAACAATCAAAAATTGTTTTAATGACGATATTTTTACTTCATACTGTAAGTTACAACTTACAATTATAAAAATAAATCAGTTTCTTGAACGATAAATATCAAATATTATAACCTTGTGGTAGCAAAACAATACCTTTGCTCCACAACAAAATGAATATGCAACAAAACTACAAAACTACCCCTCAATACCACTTAGACATTTTATGATTTTTGCTAGTAATATTAGGTATACCTAATATATAAGTTTCAATTTGTACGCTAGTAAATTTGTGGAAGATTATCCTTAGAGAATTAACAATACACGGAAGTACTTACCTACTACAAAATAAGAATAACTACAATAAAACACATATAATAAATGTAGGTATGTACCTATATAATAAGAGCTTGAAAATAAAATTTAATAAATATTTTATTTTCTATATGCCATATGAATGTGGGCTGTCGTAAACACATTTATTTGTCAATGGAATATTTCCTTTGGGGTTGGACTAATAATGAAAATGTTTTGATGATGGATTTGAGGAGAAAATTTAGCATAGGAAGATATATTAGTTGCCTTAAACAGACTAAAATATTATACACTTAAAAATGAATCAATTAATACTACTATATAATAAAAAAGAAAAACTGAATTTATTCAAAACGAATGACATCAAAATTAGAGCATGGCCCTGTTGGAAAGTCAGCCATGTTATCACAGGCAGTCGCAAGCCAGTCATCGTGTTAAGGACTGCTGAGCAAAATTCTGTTTTATTACAAATATTGTCATGGAAAGTTTTAAATTAGGTATTGAACACTACTAAATAAGTAAATCTTATGTTTTTTTTTAAATAAAATAGATCTATGATTATAACTTATTAGTTTTATAAATATGTAGGTAATTATAAATCAATGTTCTATTATATAGACATAATTTAAATGTCTCTTGAAATCTTATTCAAATTATTCTGGAGCCTGATAACAGTTAAAGTACCTAATGACAAAATTTTTTTTTTAATTTGCAATAAATTAGACTCCAATACTAATTTGTGTCACTTTATAGTTACCAGGTCCAGATTGGGACAGTGAGCTAAAGAGATAATCTCAGTAGGCCAATCATGAGTATTTTACTATAATTATATTTTTATATGATAATGAAAAATTAGAAGAAGATATAATTGAATTAAATTATTGAACCATACAGTATCTGTAGTTGTAGTCAACAAACGTTAGAAATCCTAAAACTCAGTAGGCTAATACCAACCAAAGCTATAAGCTTTTTATAGAAATAAAATGACAAAAAAAAGGATACCTATATGTAAATATAATTGAATTATTGTCAAATTGATAAGTAACACTTAATCTGACACTTAATAAATAGACAATAATTCAACCATGACCCAATACCTAAAAATTAAAATTGGATATGGTCCCAAAAATGTAAGTCATTTCCATTCATTATATTAAAATAAAAAAATAAATTAGCATATGTTGCCAATTTTTAATGCCGTTTGAAGGGAACCACCTCAAGGTTGATGGAGGTCATTTATGAAATAGGTAATTACCTAATAACTGAAAACTGCTAGGTTGTGTATTGATAACACAGGTCATAAAAAAGAAATATTCGGAGAAACTAACATAAAAATAATCCTCTCCCCCACCACATCTTGACTTAGATATACACAAGCTACACAAGTAATAGGTAGGTTAGGTTACCTGTCCAACAACTCGCACATAATTTTGGGAAATAGGTAATGAATCATATCTTACGGTAAAATTTAAACTTGGATAAAAGCTTATATTATACTATAATATAAGATAGGTTCAGCAAAGTTTCACAAATCGTCGAGAAATTGATATTCTTTAGGAAAATTGGGCATATCACTCCGCGGAAAACACCTCAACACCGCGAGTGGTGATGGGTGCCCGGAGGGGGGGAAACTGAAAACGAAACCTTTCAAAGATCCAAAAGGTCGTTTTCCTGTCTAAACGTACCTGGTTGATTTCCAAGAGTTTGGAGGCGGTCGAACGGAACAGGCTCATTTTTGCGGCTTGGTGATGTCGAACAAGCTAAAAAAAAAACGGATTGCAAAAAACAAATCAATAAAAGCAACGGCCAAACGTGCTTCGAAAACTACTGTTTTCGTCCACACTCCGGAACCTCTTTTACGTACAAAAAAATGTAATCAAAGCGTTTGAGCGTGTTTGATTTCGAACATGCGCACCAGTCGGCAGAGCGGGCGGTAAAATGGCGTTGAGCTGCGGCGCGGGTCGGTCGTGAAAAGACCGAAGCCGAACGGATACGGCGGCGGGCGACCGAGCAAGTTGGAGTACGATCCTGGCGGCGGCGGCGGCGTCGGCAAACGAGGTACATCGGTAGGATGCCCTTCCCCGAGGTCCGGTGTGGCCGACACATCATCCACACGCAAAAATGACACTACGATGACGTCACGAGTCGTCGCGATGCCCATTGTCGGTGTGACCACTGGGACGTGACCGAAATGTCGGCGCAAACGAGCACGGTAATACCGTAACCGTCCAACCACGATTATAAAGAACTTTGTACATTTATAATGCACTATATTACATAATTATATTTCTATAATAATTCTTTATAATCGTGGATTCAAGTCCCCAACCCACGGACTACGATTATAGAATCTATATTGTATACTCGTGTTGAGTGTTTCAACCGCAAAAAAATTTAAAATATTATATTATAATAATAATGATTCGTAAGTCGTAGGTACCTCTACGGTTATAGATAGATAGTGGCAAATACTTGAAATACTATAAATCATAATATACACTGTACAGTATTAATTGATAATGTCAACTGCCATTTGTGCAATTGTGTGCTACTATGGTGAGCGGTGATGGTCACGCGATCAACGTGTTATTCTATGATCTCAACCCAAGGGCAAGGCAAAACAAAATAAAACATCAGCAATTATTTACATCCTATAATCTTATCAAAGGGTTCTTCATAGGTTTTTCCAAAACCAAAACTTTTTAAGAATAATTTCCTGCTGTATCTATTGTGTATAACTGGTGGCGCCGAAAACGTACAATTCCTACAATTGGTGGGTGGGTACTGGCCACTGGATGCCTGGGTCCATAAAGTTTTGAAAAACTGACACTTAATAGCCTGTAGGTATTAGGTAGTAGGTGACTACTTAATATGAACTTGTTAATACTTTGTCAATTGATGGCCAAGTAATTGTAGAAAGTAGAAACAAATAGCATAGATTAAAATAATAATACCTATATACTATGCAAATAAATAGAAGACTATGATTATAGTAGATAAAATTAGTAATTACAACAAATTCACAAACCGTGTAATGTACTAATGTATACAAATTAAAACTATTTATATTTTATTATTCTGAGTCCTCAAAGGGGTAACGTCGCTAGAGGTAGGTAACAAAAAAAAATATTTTTTTATATTATTGGATTTGTTGAGAAATTAAATAAGTGATAACCTGTATCTTTCTTATAATATCTTTTACATTTCTATACATATTTTTATATACATATATATAATGTATTTTATTATATTGTCATACGTACATACAATTTAGAAAAAAAGGCTAAAATCTAAAATTCTAATTTATTTATATTTTATTTGATTATAAACGTTGACTTTTTTATTAGGAATAAATGAAGTGGTAATGGTGAAATAAAAGTGTTCTCTAAATTAGTTGAAACATAAATGCAATAAGGGGAAAATATATATTTTGAGTTATCACTTTTTACAGGGCTTGAAACCGATTGAAAATATTTCAATTTTGTACAACGGTTTTTATTTTTTTCGATTTTTGTTTCAATGTTTCATTACCGTTATTAGGAAATTTCGCTTTTGGTTTCGATTTTGTATACCAGTTCGGCAGTTTCCAATTATTTTCCGTTTAAATTTTGGATTTAATACCGGTTTAGAATTTTTTCCGATTTTGTATTCGGTTTCAGTTTTTCAACGAATTATACCGGTTTCTAAAATTGGTTTCAAGGCCTGGACTATTTACGTTCATACTTAGTATATTAATTTTTTTTGAATCACTGGATCGAGCGTTCGAATCGCCTTTTGTGTAAAGTAAACTTTCCAAAATATTAAGATACAAAGTTTTTAAAAAAATTTTAATTATTAAAAAGTTAAGTTAAGGTTTTTATTTTTAAGAGAGATTTGATATCACACCCAAGCGGTATAACCACTTGAATCCACAAAAACGTTGGCTTGAACAGTCCCAAAATTTCTATTTTTTAATTTTTCTCCTAAACTATGATACCTAGCTAGAAAGTTGTTTGATAACTCATTAAAAAGGGATTATCAAGTAGACACTAAATGTGGAATCCAAATTTTTTTTTAAAAGTTATTTTATTTGTCACAGATAAAAAAAGGGTTATTTTCGCTAGTTTTTCATTTAGCGAGGTAGATTTCCGAGACTGGAGAACCGATTTTGTTGTTTGGGATCTTGTTAGATTCAAATAGGCTAGGAGAAGTGCAGTTACGATTTTCAGAACTTTATCTCCAATCGTTAATTCACTACAAAGCTGTAAAGCTGAAAACATCAAAAAACGGCTAATATAATTTGTTTTAATTTTTATTACGTTCTGTAGTGAATTAACTATTAATGAAAAGTTCTGAAAATCTTCACTGCACTTCTCCTAACCAATGTGAATCTAACAAGACCCCAAACAACGAAATCCACTCTCCGGTTTCGGAGATCTATCTCACTAAATGAAAATGAAAATGATTTTTTGTGGAGCTGTTTACCCTGACATTTTTCTGGATTCAAATTGTTATAAACCGCTTAGGTGTGATTATATCAGTTAATACATTTCTAAAAATTAAAAATCAAGAAAGTTTACATGCCGATCCCTGACTTGATAAGCTTTTTTTATACTAAACGCTAAACGTGGTTATAGCCATGGACTAAGATAATATATACAGAACTGGACATGACAAGGTTTGAGGGTGTGGGGGGTTGACTACAAAATGTTGTACAACAGGCGGAGTTCGGGATTATATTTTCCTTTTATCATTACTAGCGTTATAATTTTTTTTATTATCAACAAAAAATATTTTAACAGATAACAATGTTTGAAAATTGATAAAAATTATTTATAATTAAATATAATTTATATTTAAAAAAAAATCAGAAAATACCCATATTTCCTAGTAGCTGGTATATTATTTAATTTTTGTTTTGTAGACCGTAATGCACACACGTGCAAATCGTAGTGCATATTGTGTATCACGCTGCACATAAAAATAGGGCCTGGTGTATTCCCTACATTATTTATGGCCCTTCTTACTGCTTGTACATTACCAGTATGCAGTGTTGTAAAGTATTTGAGTAAAAGTATTTGAGTAAAAGTATTCAAATACTTTTTTCCGTATTGAATACTTTTTCAAATACTTTTATTTTTGAAGTATTTGAACGGTATTTTAAATACATTTTTTTACTATTGAATACTATTTTATTGAATACTTTTTTTATTCCTTCAACTTTTTATTCATTGTCAAATAATAATAAAGTCTTAATAATATTATAATATATATTTATCATTTATGAACAATTCTATATTGGTTTTAGTTTTCGTCTATTAATAGCTAATTAATATTAGTTACTCTGAGAAACCGTCTGTTTATCGTCGACACTCGACGACGATTGGAACGGTACGTTTCGGTACCTACTACCTACCAATATAGTATATTATCATAGCGAAATATAATACGAACATTAGGTAGGTAAGGTATGTCGTATACGTACGTATTTTTTTGTTTTGTATTTGAAAATTATTTCAAATACTTCTAAAAAGTATTTGAGTAATACTCAAATACTTTACAATAGATAGTATTTGGGTGGTATTTTAAATACTTTATTTTATAAGTATTTGAGTAATTACTCAAATACTTTTTAAAAGTATTTTTTACAACACTGCCAGTATGTAGTGTAACCACTGAAAGAACTTTTACTAAATTAAAAATTATCAAAAATTGGTTAAGGAGCACTATGAAACAAGATCGTCTTGAGTAGTTGAGTCATTACTCATTATTAATAATATCATATGAGTCCGATGTGTACATAAATAATGATGACGTGGTTGATGTAGGTATTTGCAAAATGCAGTTTAGTACTAAGCAAAAAAGTTATTGGTTGAAAGTTTGAAACTTAAAATATAATAATTAATTATATACCTACCTACATATACACGTATTATACAGATAGATCATAGATCATAGATGTATCGATGTATGTATAAAACAATATTTTACTTAAGTTTTATTCAAAATGTTGACTTTGAACCTAATCGAAAATAATATTTTTGTGGGTGTCTAGGTAGGGGTGTTGCAACCACCTACTAAAAAGGGGTGTTGCCCCCTCACGGCTGTTATCAAGATTTTAAAAATATACCAGTTGCCCTCAACCAAATATACAAGTTGCCCTTACATGTTAATATACACTATATGCATGATTACAATATATAGCCCTTAAAATTGGGGAGGTAAATATACAAATAAATAATAATAAATAAAATTATTTAAAATAGTATAAAATGATAGAAAAAAATTCATATGCTTGGATAATAAATAACAATTAGGTACTAACAAAATAATATGAATACATTATTCAATAAAATAATAAATATTATAATTATGTGACATTAAATGTTATAATTTTTCAAAAAAAAAAAAATAGTATATAGTATAAAATGATAGAAAAAATTCATAATAAATAATATAAATAAAATGAAAAGTGTTATATTATTCAATGTGATAATTTGTCAAAAAAAAAAAAAATAGTAAACTATACCTAATTCGATATATAATATTGTGTACTATGTTTTGTTATAATAATTATTATTTGTATATTTACCTTCCCAATTTTACAGGCTATATATTGTAATCGTATATATATTTGCATATGAAACCAACTGGTACATTCGGTTGGGGACAACTGGTAAATTTGGTTGAGGGCAACTGGTACATTTTGCTCTAGGTAGTTTGGATGGAATTGGTATAAAAAAGGTACTTTTGAGGGCAATTGGTACATGCCCTTAAAAAGTAGTTCGGCGCCAGTATACCTACTATACACGAGCAACGAACGATATTGTGACCTAACACCTAAACAGTTAACAGTGAACACTATCTATACTGCAGGGCCGGAATAAGATTTTTGCCGACCATAAGCTGCCTATAATAAATGTATCATTTAATTTTAAGAAAAAATAAGAATATACCTAGCTATATAGCATAATCACGGTTCATCAAAAAAGTAAGGCTGATAAGTGAATCTTTTAAAAATTCAAAATTACAAATAATCTATATTGTCATATTGATTAAAGGTACCTACTATAAAATGATTATTTTTATTGATAATGATTAATGATTATTATGTATTCATATTGGATATATTACGTTTTATTATAGTCCAGCTCTACGAAAATATCTCACGTGGCTACAGACCTATAGTAGTCAGTATATATATATAAAGTTACTGAAAATATTTATTGAATCAATTGTAAATAACTGCAAATCAAAATTGTTGGTGAATTTTTGTAATTTTGGTCAGCCCCTCCAGTCTCCACATTATCTTATATATACCTTCCTATTATTTCTTTTTTAATAATTATTAAATACTGATATATACTGTGAATTTGTTGGAGTGTGAAATCATCAGTTTTTATAACAACAACATAATACTAGGTATGTATATTCCCTATGGCGTGTAGAATATAATAATATAATATTGACAATATTGTATATAAATTATAAATACATAATATTATACCTATGTGGCTAGGTAATGTATCAATAATGGTCATTGGTCTTTAGAAAAAAAACTGGCCCGAAATCTTATAACCTGCTGGCCGAATAAACAGAGAAGTAGAGAACACTCGCTGGCTACACGTTGTACCCATCATCTGGGATATACCTAATATATTTGCTCGACAACGGCGTAAAACAAAATCTGAATATCATTCATATTTATTATTTCATTTGTAATTATTATTTGAAGTCACACGTAGCTGGGTAAGTACTACACGTCACACGACTATTGTGTCGAACTACTATTTTCGAAGACATCGAAATTACCGTGAGCAGGTACTCGCAGAAGTCGTCACTTCGTTGATTTCTGACTGTTGCGAAGATATCTACACCATCGTCTAGCCGTCTAGGAGGTTCTGGACGACACCTGTAACTGCAGAGGTATTGGATTCCTGCAACCACCAAATCGAGACGACCGTCCAGTGGGTGCTCCAGGAGTCAGGACACCATAGCCATGGAATTAGGCTGCTGCAGAAATTATCAACTGACCACCAACGGTGATATAAATAACGACAAACGTGAAACGGATGGTGATTGTCGACAGTCTGGTGTACACGGGGGTGAATTTATTTTCCACTTTTTTGTTTAATGCCAATCCACCTCTGCCTATATATACACGGCACCATACTTAAATACTATACACCATGCCATCATGATTAGAATGTACGTCATATAAATATATAATACTAGCTTTATTACCCGACTTCGCCCGGGAAAAAATTAAAAATATATAATATAGCACGCTCGGTGTATTTCGGTTCGACAGTATGAGTAAAAGTAAAGACTAAAGGTACCACTTTATTAGGTACCCATGCCTTGTGCACAAATCTAACCAAGAAGAGCAATCCATCAAGGATCTTGGATTTCCAATTCACGCTTGGCCAATTCCAACTGATTACTACTTTTAAGATGAGACTTCCTTGCCCGCGACTACCAAATAATAAAATATGTATTGACAAAAAATAATTATACAAAGCAACAAACATGCCCGATTAACCAATAGCAACCAATAACAAAACACTGTGGCGCCACTGTTGTATTTTTTACATCCAGATTTCCTACATTTTTGGTGGATTTTCCTAAAATTTTCTCACATAAAAAACCTTCTCCTGGAAATTATGAACATACTAAAAAAAATTTGAGCCAAATCGGACCAGCCGTTCTCAATTTATGAGGTAACGACATTTTTCACGCTCCATTTTATATGCATGGATATTACTTATTTTACAATGAGAATTGAGAAGTCCCCCCTCAAAAAAAAAAACTTAAGAATAAATAGAATAATAAAATCTGTTCTTGGTTTTGAAGCATTTTAATGTTCATGAAATTTGTCACCAATAACCAAATAAACCAATAAGTAGTTATAATGGATACACTGTTTTCAATTTTTACACTTTTCAATATGCAAAAAAATACCAGGTATAATTATAACCCGTAGATCCTACTTACTTACAAATCTACAATTTGCCTATAAACGAAAAAACAAGGCTTTCAAGTTTCAACAACTTATTTACACAAAAAAAAAAATATAACAGTTTCAAGTAATTATCGGTGGCATAACAAAACCGATTTGCATCTTAAATTACTTGAATATTTAATTTTTTTCTTATAGGTACCCAGTAGAGTTAACCCTGGTGGAGTAGAGTAATACGGTTACCTATATTATGAAATAAAATACCGATCACCAGAATAAAAAAACATAATTGAATTTTGAAATATAAATCCATTAACAATAATAATAATTAATAATCTCTAACTAAACGTATACCTATTAATTTTATAATATTTTAGTACCAATATACCAATATTAAATCGATGTCAATTAGTGGAACCGGGTCACCTGGGGTAAGACGAAACACTTAATGTTAACACTTAACCTGGCTACTTGTATAATATGTTGTATTTTTTAATAAAACACGTAATTTACATTATACATACCTATTTAATATAGGTGTAACGTCTCCTCTTCACCTATCGCTCGCATCGCTCTTTCGGTGTCGTTCTGTTTATATTAACACGAGGTCTCGGAAACTCGACCTCGGTGTGTGATATTATTACTAGGGATCAGGGTTACCTTATGTGAAGCAAAATACTCAACTTATATATATAGGTATATGTATCTATTATTGAATATTAATGTTTTATTATTACCTACTGCAAGTTACAACATTTAAAGTATACTTATAAATTATAACTCAGGGTTACCGATCCATGTTGTGTCGTGGGTGCCTATATCCGATGTGGGTTGAGCTGGTCGTCCGTGAGTCCTTCTCAGGTGGTTGTCAGCCCTCGACTTCCACTATCGACCATCCACTATGACTATTGACTGCCGTCCATAGACTCTCCCATCGACTATATATCTATTTTTCGCCAGGAGTCCCGGTCTGTTATTAACACAAAGTGAGCTAAACATCGCGTCAGCATAATATATACTTCCTACATATATATATTATATATATATATATATTATATACACATTTTCCATTACTAACACTCACCATATTAGCCATGCTAAACGTAGGAATAGTAATGTACGATTTCGATGACGAGTGACGACAATCGTTACTTAGGTTAAAGTTCCTAAGTTCTATATTTGTTCACTTTAAAGGATTTAAATTAAGTTATTAAAAGTTATTATATTATGTCTCATCTTACCAGTTACCACACTAATATCAAAGTTTGCCTACAGGGATGGCAATGCATAATAAATGTCTATAACATAATAACAAATAGTATAGGAATTTATACATTCATCTGCTCATGTAATGTTATGGAATATTCAAAAATGTAAGTTTAAATTTTATTTTATTTTTATTTTCAACACATTAATAAATTATGTAGGTATATTAAAACAGATTTTTGATAGTTAATTTGTGCTGAGGACTTCATTATAAGCTATATTTGATGTATTTCCTTCGGGTATTAAAATATTACTCTAGTGCTAGAAACTAGAAGAACTTACCTAAAAGAAAGTAACGTTTTTTTTTAAGTTACCTCTTTGGGTTGGTCAAAACTTTTGCCCCCTGGCCCCTAGCTCCCTCTATTGAAAACTGAAACGACGCTACTGAGGAAACCTGCAGGAAACTGTAGTCTTTTAAACTAGAAAGAATAACCCGATATAATCAGTGGTAGGTACCAATTCTAGGTATGAAAACTGTATTCATCATACATATAACATATACCTTAATATTTATGTGTACCTAATTACTGTGAAATAACAACTATATACCTCTAATTTAAAAATTAAACAATTACCTGGTTATAACATTTGATTATTTATTTAAAATTATGTAAATTATTTTAAGTTATGTAAAGATAAGTTAAATTTGTTATAGTTTTATACATTCAAACTTTAGTACATATTTCTTCTACTATTTCTTTAAATTGAATACAATGTACATTCTTCTCAACCAAATTAAGGAGTATATAATCTCCTACCTAAAAATATAAATTGCATCTAAAATTATTAGATTGAAATTTTATTTTACATTATAATAATAATTTGTTGAATTTTGAGTAAGTCACTATAATGTATGACATGTTAAATTTAAATTCAATGATAAATCATTACACACGAAAAATGATTCTGAGCGAGAACTCGGCCTATAATATTATTACTTAATGTATTTTATAATATGATTTTTATATTGCTATTAAAGTAGTTCATTTTACTATTAGTATTACAATAAGTTGATTTAATTTAATTTTTTGAAAAATTTTAACATTATTGCATTTATTATATTTTTGATATTTAAATATTATAATAGTATCTATATATATCCATGTACGTATTTATATCATGTATTAGTGTTATTAACTTTTGAGTCAGACCGACTTACCGTAAACGGTGTGATAAGGTTCATGGCATAAATTAATTTTAGTAATTTATACTAGTATCATGCGATTTTTACCCACCTAATAAAAATTAAAAACAATGTGTTTGGACAAGTTCCTTATGCTGTGTTTGAGCGAGTACAAAGGCGTCCTCAGGAAAAAGGATGAAAGGATTTGAAATTTTTTTGCTAATATTTTAGATTTTGATTTTACAATGATGTGTGTTTTTTTTTTTATTTTTTTTTGTGTCTGTAATCACCTTTCAGGACAGCAAACATGCTTGGATTTTCTTCAACAGTATCTTTTCTGATAGGAAAGTGAATCTAGTTGGTACTTTGGGGAGTCAAAAGTAAAATTTTTCCAGTAGTTTTCAAAACAAAAGAAAAATTAAGGAACAACGGGAATTTTTACGCTAAATCTCGAGTTTTTCATTTTTTTTTCGGACACCTATATATTTACAACCAGCTAAGAACGATGGTGCAAAAAGTAATTGCCAAATCATTAGCTTTTATGATATAGTCTTAAGAAGCTTACGATTTCATATTTATCAATATTATGTACCTACTGTAAAATTGTGTACCTATAGTTTATTAATTAATATTGTAACAGATTCCCTCTAATCTTTCCAAAAACTATTGCTTATAGAGAATAGGTATCAAGTTTAAATTTAAATTTAAATGTAAATATTATTATGAAGAAGTTGAAGTAAATTATTATTATTATTTATTATCATTATTAAAAACTGTTTTATAGCCAAATCTTTAATACCTAGTAATAATGATTCAATCATCATTCGCCATAAATTCGTAATCGACGGTATTCACCATACCCACTACTCAGGTATTCCTATAAATCCCATTTCCTTACCAATTATCTTCCTGCTAAAAATAGAGGATATTGTGGATATTACGATAGCATAATAATAACATAATTATCCATTATCGATATATTATAGTAATATTTAGCAATACAGCCTATAGTTAAGGTAATATATTTTATTCAAATATTTCTAATTTAATACAAAAAAAAAACGTCCTATCCACTACGGGCCTACTATTGTTTGATATATGTTGTGGCCTGTGGGCCCGGGGCCATGGCCCCCTGCCCCCCCCCTTAATCCTGGCTTGCACTTAAGTATAACAAATTTTCAATTTGTAACCTAGCCCCTGGGTAAATTAACGTTTTAAAAATTGTGGTGCAAAATTAATTCTGACACCCACTCATGGTGGTTTTACATAACAAGTCGAGGGATGTTTTTAATTTTAATTGTCCGAGGTAGCACAGCGAGCGTGTGACCATGCCGGGTGTAAATGGAAATACCAAAAATTTCAATTAGCTAGGTATAACTTTAAAATAAGTCTGATCGCTAAATTTAGACTTCCCCTTCGTTTTCAGAATGCTTCACTACATAGGTACCTAAGTTAAAACATAAAAAATTTAAAAAGATTGTCCAGTAAAACAGAAATGTCCCCAACGCGTGTTATATTGATATATTGATAGATATATCACTTACCAGTTATCTCTGATAAGTTATAAATACTAATAATTAATAATACATATTAGCCAATAATCTATAAAGGCATATACCCATAATGTTATGATTGAGGAGCAACTTTTGGAATTTTGGAATGAAAAAATAATTATAATAACTAGTTAGTTTTTTTTCTAACGAGTTAGATTAGACTATTATATTTTACACATTAATTTCAACTAGTTAAGTTACAAAGTTAGTATGAATTAAAACTAACTAGTTAGTATATAAGAGATACAATTGTAAATATTAAGGTAAAATATTAAATTGTATATTATATAAACCTTAAACCTAAGCTAATAAAATAATTTATTATGGCAAAAATATCAGTAATTTGCTCGAACGTATTGGAAACGTGAACTCATTATAGTGTTAGACGTTAGTTATTAGTTATTACCTATAGGTAGTATGCCAAATATATGGATCTCAAAATTGAAACAATTTTTACTACGAAATTAAATAAACGATTGATAAATTTGATTGAAAATTGAAAATTATGTTTATGGTGAATCTATTATCGAACTACTTGAAAAACAATTCTCCTAAATACATTGCAATTTTTTCAAACTCGACCAAACGTAAACCACCCGTTTATTTAAACATACGGCTTCCCTCAAACCCTACCTATAACTAAAAAGGTGAAGACAGACAAGAAAAAAAATTTTAAAAATACACGTCATTGTAAAATCAATACATTCATCGCTCCGCTCAGAATCTAAAAAAGAAATCCACATATTTTTTCAACAATTATAATGTCCAAGGTCTAAAAAAAAAAAAAATACAATGGGTACATTGTACAAACGTACCTATATTATTATAACTATTTACTTAAATCTAAAGTCTAAAGCAATAAACTAATATTATATAATATTATACGTACTTGAAATTTACGAACTAACATTGAAATGATTCGTTTATTATTTGTGAATTTGGACATGTTTATCAATAATGTTGTCTTCAAAAGTATTTGCGTAATAATAGCGATTCTATAGACCAATGCAATTATGGATATAATAGCAAGTATTAAGAACCAAATCCATATTAATAAGTATATTTTTTCGTTTAAAATATTTTGAGCGAGAATGCACATAGCATCTATGTTTTGAATAGTGCCAGATGGTCCATACTTGAAAAAATTACATTTAGTAAGTCGGGGAAAGATAATTTCCATTGGGTTAAAGTAGCTAGGATGTTGATAGTATTTAAACACTTCAATTCCGTAAGTTAAAAACGATTCACCAAGAAATTTATGAGTAATGTAAATGTTGACACCAATGTTGAATATATTCATTATTTCACACAAAATATAACCAAATGCGTAGGTACTGTGAGTATGAAAGCTCTCGATCAAATATTGCACCTGTAATTAAAAAATCACTAATATTTTATTAAAAATACATTAATTAAAATTGTGTATATTTAAATATTCACTAATATTCATCTATTTATTGTTTCCTGATCTATGAAATAAAAATGAAAGTTAGGTTGTTTTTTTTTAAATATATTGTACAATACGAACAATTAATTTGAACTAAATTATTATAACTCTGTCATACATCGCAATTTCATGAAATCATGTCCTACAATATTATAATAGCTAATAGCTATATATTTAAGATTAAGATCCTTCATAGTTCATGATGAAAATTATGATTGAATTAAAATAATTTGTTATTATTTACATAGATATAATTATCCATGTATACATTATTATAACTTATGAGACTTAAGCATACAATCATTGATTATAAAGACTAGTATTATTTTAGAATTACAGTTGTACACAGTTACAGTTTACAGTTGTAAACTTAACTGTAGCCTGTAGGCTGCAGGGTAAAATATTAGGTAGATATATTTTAGAAAATGTTGAGCAGTAAAACAATATAATAAAGCGAGTGAATTCAAACGTTACATTTATGGAGTTATAATACTTAAATATATTAATGATTATGGTTTTTATTTGTTTTTACTTTTTTGTTTAAAATACAAACCAATCTATCTTGTTTTAAACGTCTTGTGTTAGCAGGACCCACACAAAATCCACGCATGCCATTTGTGATCATACGTATTTTTCCTCCTTCCCATATTTTCCATATCCAATGAGGCACATAAAATGTCATAGCTTGAAAGAACAGCATAAATGGTACCCATTTATAGTATGAATGGAATCTAATACTTTGTTCGTTATTTTTTATATTAGGTAGACCGACTCCTGGTTTCAAATTATTATATGTGTATAAGCTCGACATCCAGCAATAACTATTTATAATTTTTTGCATTTCTGTTTTTTTTGATGAGTTCGTTATGCATTCGATTGGATTTCCTTAATAAACATAAATATTAAACACAGAATGGATAATGAATATCACCCGCGCGTATGATATTATGATATGTATCTATTCTATACCTATTACTAAACAATTATTTTGGTAATACAATCTCAATTTCAGTATGAAATTTAAGAGTTTGAAAATAAGTACTAACCTATTAAATTGATTGATGTAACCAATATACAGAACGTTAATAAAATTTTGGTGGTTAGTTTATAATGGCATTGGAATATATAATCGTCGATCACAGGTTTATCATTGCATACTTTAAACGATTTTGCAATAATATCGAATGGAATCATATCTTTTCCTTGATATTATCCTCCTGTAAATGTAAAGACATAAACTATTAGGTATATGGATTAAATATAGGTATACGAGACTAATTTTCCAGATTGCTAAAATATATACCTATTAATTTATTACCTGTATTGCATGTAACATAATTAATTACTAATAAGTAATACGATGGTTTTTAAACTTTTTTCTATTCTTTATTATTTATTTCTTACATATTAAATTTACAAATAAAAAAAGAGGGAAAGTTGGAAATCGCTCTGCTGTGCAATAGGTGTCGATTATACCTCGTCATTGAGTAAGTCACTGCAGTAATGTCAGATAATGTAGGTACCTATGTGTTAAATCTGAATGCAATGATGAACAATGATAATATTAAGCAAAGATGCCTATCAGCCTATATTATAATACCAAGTATATTTCATGATAGTTTACGGTAGGTTGATTTAATTTATGACGAAGATATTTGCGTTGCGAAGTGGGGTAATCGAGAGGCGGCTGCCTCTGAGTTATACGAGGGGTGGTGGGTGATAATTATTTAGTATTAACCATAGTAATAATTACGACAGTTTATTACAAATATGACAGTGAGTGCATTTTTATCGGGTTATTGGTGCTAAAAGGTGGGTAAAATATTATAATATAGCATCTGAAAAATTTCAAGTTCACCACGCCACTGAATGAATGTAAAGTTGAGACTATATTATTATAATATTATACTTATTCAGTATTATACTAATAATTAAAAAAAGTGATAGTGCAGGTAGTAGGTATATTGATTTAAAATAAAATTCGAATCTAAAAATATGCACCTACTAGGTACCTAAAATTTAGTTTTAATATTTTTAGCTACCTAATTATGATTTTGTTTTTACATAGTGTTCAAATTTCAAATAAAGATAAGTAGTATAAATAATAAATAAGGTAATAATTACTCAAATAATTGTACAACTGTAAAATATAACATTTTAAATAAAAAATATTATTGTATTAACTTAAAATATTTTAGGTAGCTACCAAATTTAAATATGCTTACCTACGGGAAAATGTGAAACGTACAAATTTAGAACTATGCCAGAATGGTATTTTATTGATCTGTAAAATATTCGGAATATGAATAGTTTGTATAAAATAAAAAGTAATGTACTCATAGATGAACATAACATGAAACAATAATGTTAGCCATAGACGATTATTATTACTTTCTTGATAAAGAATAAACTGTGTCACGGAGCCATAGATATCTATATTATGCTTTATTATTCTATATTATAATATAGATATCTGTGCATGGAGCTTAAATTTTATTTTCTCAATGTTTAGTCCCGGTGTCCTAGTAAAATCGTATCCCTGGAGAATCTTACAGGGTGGGGGTATTCGAAAATCAAGTTCTACAGTATCAAAATCAGGTTTTAAAATAAGCAATTACATAAGTTTTCAATTTTACCTTAATAATTACTGCCTACCGAACCGTCACATGAGTAGGAACAGCCGATTACATACATAGTATGTCATATATATATATTAATTCAAAATAATTAAGTCAACATATTATTTTAATAAAATAATTACTGAATAAAATTTGAATACAAATTGCGATTTGCCCATGGGCATAATTTTCTGGTTTAGCAACTTATCGATTTTTCAATTTTTTTTTCCAAAATGTATATTTTAGGGTGCTTTATAAGAATATAAAAATGAAGCCCAGACAAACTTCGTTTTGAAGTTATTGATCAAAAACTTCAAAAACTATATTTTTTACGTAACGCGCATTTTTAAAAAAAAATACTTAGAATTGAATATTTAAAAATTGTTTTTTTTCCAAAACGTGTGCTATTCTAAACAATAATTATATTGATTGTTATTAACCTACGCCTACGATTGCGATTTGTGCTTGATTATATAACAGGAAGCCCGGATTAAGATAGGTACTTTTGGGTCCGGGGCCAAACAATCTTAGGGACTTATAAACATAATCAAAATATTGGTGTCACACAAATATATATAATTCAGAATTAAAAAAATATTTTAATATTATAACATTAATACTATACGTCAGCAATACTTATATTTGTAAAACAAAACACTAACATAAAAACGTAAACATTCCCCACTATTATAACATTATTTCGACGACCAGACAGTGCCAACTGTCAGGTTATAGGTATGAGTATAATATGACTTCAACTGACGACTGTTCAACTTTTCGTATAAAAACAACGTAAATTAAATTTGTTTGGCTCCAGGAACCTTTTATTATTAAATTTCCTTTCATAAGCTTGAACAGATATAAATTATAATTTTATGGCTATCCTTATCACATTGCCTATTATATTATAATTTTACACTTATATAGATAAATGATAGTCAGTAGTCAGTACCATTGCCCAACGCCTATTTAAATAATTTATTGCCATCCATTTGAGTTATAATGAGTTATTTATTTTTGATAAAAATTAATAGAAATTGAAATTATGTTATTAATATTATTAAAATTAAAAAAAATAATGGATCACACTACTATGTATATCAGATCATCGAAACAATAACTATTGTTTATCTGTTTAATTTTATTAGTTTTTCAATACTTTGTTAATCTTGTTAGTTGTCTATGATTTATGCATATCAAAAGCACAGAATCATATGTTCTATATACTAAAATAATAATTATTATAGTTCAAGAATTATATTGTATTGTCCACTGCCTTAGGCACAGGTAAAAACGTCCAAACAAGACATTGTATATTTTAAGACAATATAATATGCTGCAGTAGAAATGTAATTGTGTTTTGATGCATTTACGAAAATAAGGGGAAAAATGATATTTTATTGATCAATGAATTTTGTAGGTAATACAATACCTTATTATAATAATTTTTAAAACTATTTTCTTTTATAAAACAAATGATTATTATATCAATGATATTTGTGTAGGCACCTATATATAGTATATAATATATATTATACAGCCTCGAACTGCAATAAAATATGAATTCGTGCTCTTTAGCGCGTGCTCTCACAAGGTCCAAAAAGGTTGCCTAATATATTATTACATTACTGGACACACCTAAAAACACAACAATAATTATTATTTTTATTTTAAACTATTAAAACACAATGTTTTATCTGACTAAAATTAATATGATATAATAACATTTCCTTTGTTTATCTATTGTTAATTCCATAGAATGATCATTGATCGTCGTAGTAACAGACCTTATCTTATTCTCAATACGTAAATAACCATTCTAATTAATAATAATATTCTTTTGCGTTGGGTTTTTTATTCATATGACTGGTTACATAGTATAAAGTTTTTAATCTTTTTTAAATTTGAAATTATACCAATTACAATATTTAAAATTACATTTTTTATCATTACACTTACACATAAAAAAAATATGAATTGCAAGTGAATAAGTGATACCCTTATTTCATTTTTATATAGTTGATTAATGTTTATTGTATTTACGATTTGTTATCAAGTTATGACGTATATTCTGTTATGATAGTTTGTTAGACACTGATTTCTATTATTCATATAGATTATTCATATTAGTAATTAAACCAGTGACGATCTGCGCTTTGACCTAACCACCTGCATTTTCAAGACAGCTTTATTTACTATCAGAAATATAGGTAAGATTTTAAGGTTTATTATTATTAAAGGACTATAATAAACAAAATATGCGTTTTATGTATTTTTAACGAAAAATGTTCGTAATTTAATAAATAGTAATATTGAACTTATTAGTTATTGATTTTTTTAATACGTATCTAATATCTACACTATATTATATTAAGTATGTCTATTTACATTTTGTTATAGACGCATAATTATTCTTAAAAATAAATATTTTTTAATTTAATATTATTCAATCACGTTCCTTAAAATCATTTCAAATAAAATGCATTAAATAAACCAAAACAATTTCCACAGGAACAAACAAATCTTAATACGAAAAATGATGCAGCAACGATATGTATCGATATTAAAAATTTAAATATATTATTTGGTAAAAATATGTACCTACGTGGAAAATAGCTAAATATTTTTTCATCATAGAGTAAGATAATAATATTATATTATTTTGAATTTAAATGCTCAGCCGTAGACTGCGGTTTATAAATATAAATATTTATATATTTGATTAATTATTCATGATTCGATATTCAGCTATAGGTAGTTATTTTTTATCTTTATTTACTAAATTAAGAGTACGCATATGGTTTTAGTACACAAAATCAACATTAAAAGTTAAAACAAATCGTATTATATTATTATAACTATAAGGCACCTTTATAAAAATAGTTTCTTTTTACATGTATTATAGTGGTACCTATATCCCTGAACTATAAAAACATCAGACACACACTGAGTGTTATGCACTCGGACTCGGGTAGATACTCTTCTCGCTTCGCTCACTTTTCTCAAGCTAGTATTGAATAAGAAATTGTTTATATCACTATTAATTACACTATTTAAATTATAAATGTTCATTGGTCGTGTTCAAAGTAGTATTCAGAGCGGAGTTCAATTTACCCAAAACTTATCAAGATTTGTCAAGCCCCTTATTTCATACATATTTTTGCATGGTTTTCACAGTTTTTAAGGTGTCCATATTAATTTGTATGAACCATGAACAATGAATATAATACATAATGTTATAGTTGTACCTAGGTAAACTAGAACCTACATTTTGTGTGACCTAAAAACGGCAGGGATCGCATAAGAACCAATAATCCCGACCATATTAATTGTTACATACAATTTCAGTGAGAGACCATGTAAACACTTACATTTTGACTATTATTAATTTGACGTATTTCAATAGAAATAATTTTACTGTTTAGTTTTACACATTAAGTTAAAATTAGGATAAGGAAATTAAAAAATTTTTTTTAAAATTTATTTAGAAACATAAATAAATATGGTGACATTTGAGAACTATTTACGTGTAGTAAACCAAAAAAACTGGAAAGCAAGATTATATTCGATTATTTTAGCGATGTTCATGCTCATATTTTATTGTTTGAAGTCATATACTCGAATTTCACACGAATCTGGTATGTTCTAAAATTTATAATATAATACAATTATCAGCTATTATAGTTAGGTACATACTAAATTACTAACATGAAAATACAATAAAAATTAAAATGAATTGATTGTTATATTTTTCAGATATGAAACATGTCGGGCGTGTCCTATTATCAAGTATCAATATAACAAAAAGTCAAAGAGAAAAATCGTTTTTTGAAGAGATTTTTATTTTTGAAGAACGCCCTATCACTATATTGTGTACTTCCATTGTTGCTTTATACTTATTTTTATTTTTGGGAGTAGTATGCAATCGTTATTTGGTTCCATGCATCCATATAATTTCTCACAGTAAGTAAATATCTATAATCATTTTTTTTTTTGCTATAGAATATAAAATATTATTAATTATTTAATTTTTTTCAATGAAAAAGTATGAAAACATTTATTTTTAAATTTTCGAACTTCATCTTCATAATTTTAACATTACACATTTCTAAAAATAAACTATTGCATGAGAGTTCTTACCTGCTTAATAATATAATTAATGTTTGTTGTTGCTAAATCATTGCAGTAAAATCCGAAATAATTTTTTGTTATTAATTCAGAACAATAATGTAATAAATGAAATCAGTAGCAGATTGTAGGTACTACTGTTGTTTGATTCTATATAACAAAACATGTAGGTAGGTACCTATCAATTTATTTAGACTTTGACTGTACAATTTATAAAGCAATTAACAGATCACTCGGTAGGTACAATCATAGTTATATTGCATAACTGATAACAATAGCATTTTAAAGAAGTTCAAAATGGTTTCGCTTATTTTTACATCTTAAACAACAATGGAAATTAATATTCATTAATCATGATAATTTATTTATAAATTTAAGCAATAATTATATTTTAAAAATAGAATATATCTTTATTATATTGTAATACTTATTAAAGTATAGTAATTAAAGCTATAATAATAATCTATATAGTCAGTTAATAGTTCTTAAAATAAAATCACGTGGACGTGTTTATGATATATTTACTAAAATAAATAAAAACACCAACTCATAAGTTCAGTCTCACAAAATAGTTTTTGTACCCAATACATTTTTTAACTTGTCTATTTATCTTAATAATAATAATAATTTACTATTTAAAATTTTGCTTTTTTACTATAGGTACCTATTATTATAAAATAAAATAAGTTTATAAAAATATATATTTTTGGTAAAAATCGCAAAACAAGAAATAAGGCTAAAAAATAATTATGATATGACATCATTGGTTACCTACAAAATATGTAAAATGCTAATGTAATTAATAATGTTGGCACATCATAAACAAAATTATATCTCCATATATTGTGAAAATTCATAAGTTTTAGAAATATGTACATAAACATTTACACTTCTGACTTCATTGATTGATCATTCCCGCGTTCGTCAAACAGAATAAATCAAAATATGACGTTAACGTTTTTTTACAATACTTAATCATTATTATAGCTTACAATTCAAAAGGTTCAGACAGTTCAGAATATTTATAGCAGACGAAAAAATTCTCAAACTTAGATAAATAAATTAATCTAATTCCAAATTTTAAAGGTATTAATTAATAGTTACAAGAACTAATAGTGGGTATGAATAACTAGTGCTATTTTTGCCTTTATATTATATAATTGGGATTTAAAGTAAAATCTCTAATTGTTTTTTCTTCAAAAGAGAAGCTTTGCTAGTTAGTTTCGAAATTATATCTACTATAATATTGAGTAGGTCATTGTAATGTACTAATGTATATGTATTAAATATTACATTTTAATTCATTGATAAACCATTATATACAAAAACAATTCTGATGAGGGAAGTTGGTATTCCAGCCGCCTCTATTTCTAAGGATATCTCAAAGGTAATAAACTAATATTAACATTATAGGTACCTACTATAAGTAAATAATGTATGTATTAGTCATACGATAGGTTGAAATAATTTCTTCCAAAAACATCACATTTCATTTTTTTTTATATTTAATTATTAGGTAATTATATAGGTATTTATTGTTTTTTATTTATAATATATAATAGGTAATTGTTATTCATTTATAGATTAATACCAGTGTAATTTACCTATATCGTAAAATAGCTAAAATTATTGGGCCATGGTTATCATTAAAATTGCTTCTTAAATTCTACGTCACCATCACAGCTATATAATAAACACATACGCACAACCGTACACGACCTTTTTACCATAAGACAATAACCTGACAATTTAACTAAATTGTAATGTCAGTATCAATTTTTATTTTTAAATAGTAAAATATATATAAAATTTAATAATCTAAAGAAGATTAATTGTATACCTATATATGTTCATGTACAAGTATATAGAATTGTAAATTGAACAAATAGGCTTTTACCAACAATGAAAATAATAAGATCTATAGAAAATGTTAGAATTCAATGTGCTTATCTTCAATTTTCTAAATTTTACTAATGTTAGTTTTTAGCATAGGCGAAAAATTTGGGGAGGGGCTAAGCCCCCCCCCCCCCCCAAAAAAAAAAAAAACCTAGGACATGCTATTTTAAAATGCTATATTTCAATGGTCTGCTTGTCTTTAATATATTTAGCCCCCCCAAGTCAAAAGTATAAAATGCGCCTATGGTCTTTAGTAATGTTCATTGTGAAATAATTACTCTCAATACATTATTTAGATATAATAGTGTTCGTATCGTGTATTTTGACATAATTTACAATCATTTTTAAGGGATGAAGTTGAGTGAAGACGTTGCAGGAGCGTCTGTAATGGCTGCAGCAGTGGCATGTCCTGAACTATTCGTCAATATACTAGCTACGTTCTTTACAGAGGGCGATGTCGGAATCGGAACAGTAGTCGGCACTGGCTTATTTAATGTACTATTAGTTCCTGGACTTTGTATACTTATGGCTGATCAAAAGGTACTTGTATTTTTTTTTTCAATAGTCCATGTCCTATGGCCTATGTAAAACCATTAAACTAGACTTATGATACCCGATACGATACAATTTGTATTATTAAATCGTAGATATCAATACTGAACTAATTACGGTAAATAGTACGGTTATAATTAACAATACAACAAGATCATTAGTGTTAACTGTTAGTAAAATATAATGAAAATGTTTTATAGGTATACACCTGGAAAACTGGCCCATCACACGTGATGTATCGATGTATCTTTTAACTATATCATTATTAGTTTGGTCATTGGCTGATAACAAGGTTTATGCTTACGAAGCGTTGATATTAATTATAGTTTACATGGTATACCTATTAAGTAAGTAATCTATTGTTTCTTATTTTCATGGCTGTCAATAATTCCCAACAGTTCTCTCTTACAGCTCATATCTTGAAAAAATATTTAAATATATATCTCAACAAGAGAACAAAGTTTTCGAAGGATGCAGCGAGAACCAACCGATTCTTCCTCTAAATGGTAAATTGGCATGTGAAGTTTGTAGATGAACAGACAAACAGTAGTATTATGTAAATTAGTTTAAATATAGATATATATAATATATATATGCATGTTAACAACCTTTAGGAGTTGCAGCAAATGGATTTATAGTGCAAGAGCATATTATTTTACCCAGATGGAAGGACAGACTTCGTGATCAACTATTAAATATCAAAGAAATACTAGTATGGCCTATAGCCTTAATCTTAAAAGTGACTGTTCCGAGCTGCAATAGCCAAGATAGAGTTTTTTGGATACCGATTACCATGTGTATGTGTATATTTTGGATTGGATGTGGATCATTCATCATTGTAGAATTGATTACAATTATAGGTGAGCATTTTATAAAAAAAACCCTACGTCAATGTAATTTTGTCCACAAAAATATACGCTATACGGGAATAATGATCCTGTTCTGTAGAATTAACCAAATTTGATATTTTTTTTTTAAACTAATAGATAGATGTAAATATTTAATATTCTACAATATTCCGATTTTAAATATTTTAATCTCGAACTTTATAATAATGTATCTTCAAAAATAACAACATTTTGAGAGTTTTTTTATAAATACTATTATACGATTATTTGAAATAAAATAAAAATCTGAGTTCGGTGCGGCCTGTAGGAAATCTTCTTTTTTCAGATAAAAAATAGTTATCAAAATCCGACAATTCTACAAGGCCTGAAAATTATTCCTGATTAAAAAAACGATTACATTAAACTATTAAAGACTTATAACTTTAGTTTATAACTTATAGGCATACTAAAGCTTCTCTTGAGATGTTATTCATTTATTGAAATATTAACCTTAACCCGAACCCATCTATATAAAAAGCAATACTCAGGTAGGTACTACTAATTTTTGATATAAACAATTTAAAGTGAGAATAATAGAAGAAATATATTTGTAGGATGTAGATTGTAGGTAGTAGAAGATATTGGGGTCTATTTATATGGGCATAAACAAACGGTGATTACTGATTAGACAAAACGCACATTTTCCGAGTGTTTTCGAAATAAAAGAGCATTACCTATATTGGCTATATTATGGTAATTAAAATATTGTTTGTTCCCAAAAATCACAATAATAAATTAGATCAGAAAAATTCATTTTAACTCATTTTCAGAGTCAAAACTACATAAATAGGTAATACAAAAATTCTAAAAAATGAATTATTAGATTAGTAGGTACTTCGTATAATGTATGATTATTGAAATAGATTTAATCATGTTATAAGATGATAGGTTAATAATATTGGAAAACTTTCCTGTGATAAATTATTGCCTTCAAAAACAATTTTCGGAGTGATACGCATACTGAATTATTATCATGTTGAATATCGTCCCTAATTGTTATTTGTTTGTATTGTAAAGTTTCTATTTTTAAAAAAATATGTCACGTACCTATAGCGATATTTGAGGTTTTTAACTATCGATAACCTTGAAAGAATTGTTCAGTTCTAAATAATGAAATTACAAATTGAATTACCATAGAATAAATAAATCTTGAATGGGTCTGCGATCATCGCACGGACTTGTGCCGCACAGTTTAGTTCATCATATTATTTTGTATAATAGGTACATTATACATTTGATTTGAAAGTAACGAGTTCCATTGGCAGATGATTTAAATTAAGGTACTTGGTACTTTATTGTTTTCAGAAATATTATATCATAGTAAGCAGCATATCATTTTTAATAATTAATTTGAATTGGGTTTGAATAGGTCATCTACAACACTATAGAGCTACACCAGTAAAAATTACAACAGTCAACAAACTTAATTTTATATTTATTATTAATCAGATAAATTATTATATATGTAATTATTAGTATAATGAATATTGAAATCATTTTTAGGAAATGAATTCTCAATACCTGATTCAGTTATGGGCATTACATTATTAGCAATTGGCATGAGTGTGCCCGAAATGGTGTCTAGTATAGCAGTTGCAAGACAAGGTTTAATAAATTGTAAAATATCAAATACAAACGGCAAAAAATAAATGTTTTATTTTAATTTTAGGACAAGGAACTATGGCTTTATGTACCGCACTAAGTTCATCAACATTTGATGTTTTAATTTGTTTGGGTGTTCCGTGGTTTATAAAAGCTATGTGGTTCCATAAAGAAAACTCAAGTGCATCCATAAATGTTCACTCTAGAAGTCTCGACGATAGTGCGATAGCTGTGATGTTAAGCACAATTGGTTTTATGCTATTGATGTGTGCCAAATCATTTGTATTAACTAAAAGAGTATGTATATCTTTTATTTTTACATTTGATTCATATTTGAATAACTTAAGGTACCTACGTTTTCCTTGTAGTGTCAAAAAGTGAAACACAGTGCTTGTAGTAACGAGTTGTATTGAGTGTTGAGTGGGTTATAATACTTATAACGCATCTTTTCTAATTATATCTGAATGAATAAGATATTTAAATATTCAAGTAATCACACTGTAAAACTCTTTTACATGTCCATCTAATTTTTTTCTCAAATCAGGCACTAGGACAGCGTGCCGTCATGACGCTGCGTCTAGACGCCAACTGTGTCAGAACACTCAGAACCGAAAGTTGACTCTAGACGCTGCAAGGAAAACGTAACCTTATTATACAAATTTAATAGGTATTCTATATGTTTGAGGTTTTTTTTTATCAAATATATTATCTAATCTAAAAATTAAATCAGAAAATGACAAATGTTAACTAGGTATTATTAACCATGTAAGTACAATAGTATTTGATTAATTAAAAAACATTTTTTTATTGCCAGTTTAAACTTTAAATAATTTAAATGTGCAACGACTCTTATCCAAAAATAAATAATGTTTAAAAGGATAAATACAATTTTATTTAAGTAACCTTGTTGATAAAAAACACTATAATAAAAATACTATTTAACAATTTTATTTCCCAAACTCTTGTCTAGTGAAATATACTAAAATTGATTTCTGACTCACCAGATTAGACAAACTTTTCACTCCATCGCCGGGTATTCATCGCGAAACTATTTATGCAAATCTCTTTTATCCCGTCGTATACCTAGGTTTCGTTTGAGGAAAATTATCTCAAAATTATGTAAAAGTTAATAGTAGGTCGTAGAATAAATACTCCTGTTGCCAATTTAATTGTATCTAGGTACAACGACAAAACATATATAATTTGAAACATTTACAAAACTGTTTTTTTTAGGAAGACTCTTATTGTATTGGAATTTATATTAAACTAGCTGATCCCGCTCACTTTGTTGCCCGTACATAATGACAACTCTTAAAAAATTGGGATTGTTCAACTCCTTTTGGGTGTAACTCTCTGCAGTAAGTGCAACTCGGCCACCTTGATAGGCAATGTGTGAACATTAGTATTTATGCATGCTTGTACTTGAACTTCTCAATTAACAAATGGCACCCTGCAATATACAAATAAAATACTAATTTCTACTAATTATTTCTCCTATAACAAAAAGTTGCAACCATTTATGAACAAAAATTTTCATCGTAAATATCAAAATCCCTGTTTGAGTACCTCCCCTCGATTGGACCTACCGAATCCAATTGTGAATCTAAATCATCCCGGGACCCACTCAAACATACACGAATTTCATCAAAATCGGTCTAATCGTTTAGAAATGCATAAAGGCCAAATGGCATACAGACAAACAGACAAACATTAATTTATTATTGTTATTATTTTCAGCTACCCAATTAATTTTTCCAAGACAAATTTTAAATTAAATCCTTCCCCGTGACTAGATCGACCTATTAGTGAAAACCTTATGAAAATCCGTTGAGTAGGTTAGGTTAGGTTAGGTTTTTTGAGATATGTGCTTAAATACAAAAGGTGCTTCTATTTTCGATAAAAAAAAATTAAATATTTCCATCAATAATCTTGAATATAATATATTTAATAATATTAATTTAATTAACGATTAACCAATGGAGCAACCAATAATTATTATAATAGCAACCATAGCAACCATAGCAACAATTTATAAACAAAAATTTCTATCCCAAATCTCAAAACCCCTGTTTTAGCACCTCTCCTTTTTAAATAAGCATACAGCACTTAGGGAAGATGTAGCATTTTAATGATGAAAGAATTATTTGATATCGGTCCAGCCGTTCTTGAGTTATAAACGGTCTATAATTTTTTTAACTCTCTTTTATCTAATATTAAAATATTATTATCCAAATATTTAATAGATAAATACCTGTGCGATGATTTACTAATAGTTTTGATAAAAAAACCTCCAAAAACATTATGAATGCCGATGTTGTCAGATAGAAAATAATAATATTTGTTCATGTATAGTCAGGTGGATTTCTTGTTTTCATATGGTTATTCATTTGCTCAGCCATGGTGTACAATGAGTATGCAACAAAATGAGAATAATTCGTGTAGCTTAATTGCTCAATCATTTTGCGTGAGTTGATGAACGATGACATGTAAATGGCCAATAGTATACTTGTCTATGGCTAATGCCATCGTTGAAATGAGCCACGGAATATTGATTTAGGTTCTGAAGACTGAAATATCAGGATCATTGAGTATACGTCAAAAGAACGGATCCGCCTTATCTTCTAAAAATACTTGAGACAATTTTAATGTCTGGTATAAATAGGTACCTAGCATAAGATCGTTTACGTTATTAAATAATATATAATAATGTGCTGTGATTAGACATATTAATATATTATAGATACCTACTTGTGTTAAGCAAAAACTATTGAAAGAAACTTCAATAAATATTAAATATAGTCTATATTATGTACCTATAGGTTCATATTATAATTATTATATTGAAAAAGTTTATATTTTTATTTTTAATGTTGGAAATATAATTATTTGTGTACAGCATTTTTTATTTTATAAATTATTTAAAATTGAAAATTAGTTTGATTTAACCCATAATAATGAAATACAAAGGTTACCTATATATTAAATGTTTAAGTTAAATTATTATACTTAACCTTTTAACATCTCTGTTAACGATACCCATGCATATTTAATTATAGATTTAAAATTAAACAATTAGACCAGATTGTATTAACTATCATTGAATTAGCGACATTTACCTTACATTTTGTTGTATATTTTAATTTTATTTCATGCAATATGAAAATAAAATACCATCAATTGACCTTCACTGTAATGAAAAAACCTACCTATATGAATATTAATCTAGAATGCGTTCTACTTTTCCTCTTCCCACCCAATTATGTTTTTAATATTTAATAATCCGCTGGATACTCATAGAATAATTTGTCAATGTTAATAATAAGTAATAACTGAAGTTTTTATCAAAATTATAAGATAATAATCTATATAATATTTATTAAGCTATATATATTTTATTATTTTTAAGTTTTTAATTTTGTTAGTTTGTAGAAACCATAATATTATGTATGTTTTTATACTTCTGTGTTATTTCTATTCAAATAAAATATTTTTTTCTCATTGAATGATTATATTATTGAAGCAACCATTTTATCTATTAATTTATACCCTTAAATTGTACTTACCTATAACATGTTTTGATTATTGTAATTTATAATACCTCAATATTTTCAAATGTTTGTGTTTATATGGGTGGTATATCTTAGTGATGTTAAATTTATATTATGTGGTCACCAAATTACGGCCTGTAGATTTATAACATACAATTATAATTGCAGCATCCAGTTTCCACGTTTTATGTTTTAATAATGAACCAACAAATAAACAAATTTGTTTAACTTTCCTGGTCTTGTAAAAATAACTACCTACTTTAATACTTAAATTTTACTTTTATCGTATATTTTCGAACGCTTGTTACTTAAACCATTAATACCAACAGTTTTAGAATATTCAATTAAAATTAAATAGGTAACTCAGAAGTCAGAATGTTTAATCTAGTATTACTTCCAATATGAGTCTATATCCAATATTCATATGCTTACCAATTTAGTACTTGAACAGTATAACTAAAACATAGGAATACGATTTTAATAAATTATAATATTATCGAATATAAATAAAAGAACCTAGATAAAAAACCCATAAAAAATATGGTTGCCACGGGTGTACCTAAGTGTTTGAAACATAAATAATTTGTTCCTGTGAGTCACGGTATTCAGTACCTAATCAGTTATAAGTACTTATTTGTTACAATGAACTTTACGGATAATTTATAATACATTATAAAAGTCTCAACGTACTTTTAGTTTAATGTATTAACTTAACCGTATCAGACCAATATGTCAAATATTGTAGCACTGGAGACTTCGCCCAAAATCAAGATCCAGTTCGTGACTGAAAATTATTTCGAGGTTTTTGACGTGCTTCGGGCAAATCGAGCGAAAACGTTGGAATCTCGATATATTAAGAGTTCAAAGGAGCACAGGCGATATAAATCGATGCCTAATATGGCTGTGCGATTTAACTCCGCAGACGATGTACCTGATATCGAGTTACCTTCCGACGCATCCATGGTGGAGTTGTAAATTTCGACAGATTTACCGTCCACCGAGTTGTCAGTAACGACACCTGCTACTGCAGAAGTTGGTGAGATCGAGGCGCCTTAAAATATCTCGTAATCTATGCCACATGTTCAGCCGATCGATGCCGACGTGCTGCAGTCAAGTCGGACGTACAACACGACAGCACTTCAACAGTTTGACGGTGACGAGTCTAAAGACTGTTCGACGAAACCATCGGTCCACCAGGCAAATGGCATCCAGGATATGGTGGTAACCCTCGGCGGTCGCAGTCACGCAGTCACGAACCCGACGGTAACCGCGGTAATTCCCAAACGCCACTCTCTGTGGAGCCAGACGAAGAGATTCGTCCGGCGAATGCTTTGTTGCGGCGCTATATCGGAATAGACCTCAATGTATATACATATAGTATATGCGAGTGTTAATGCCGAGTTTTCTCCGCATTTTTGTGTCCGGTTGAACTTGTTCGCCGGAAAATCCGTCAAAATCCTTTTACTTCCGCCATTGTACTCGTTCATTCTGAGTTCGCTCCTCGACGTTTGAACGTTTCCCCAAGTCACACGCGCTGTATTTACTATTTACTGACTTTAGTTACTGTTGAAATCGCACTGTTTGCGTCATAGATCTGCTGTGGAAATGGTCGGTAAATACTGATGCCCTCCACTCCTATATGTTTAAGTAAATAAATAATTACACCGATCAATTATAAATGATGGCTATTATACTGCCGTATATTATGGTATATGTATAATTTAAAACTGAACACGGCCACAATACTAGGCAAATATCTAATACCAAAGTAACAACTATGCACAAAAATTAACACAATCCACATACCTATATATTGGTCCAAACATTTTCAATATAATACCAATAGAAATTAAACACAGCAACTCTTTTAAGATTCTTAAAAAAAAAAATACAATTTGGCTATTATAAGAACAAAATATAGACACACACATAACAAACGTATAGGATTACTGCATTATTTATCATATTAGTTGTACGACTTTAGTAATTATTGTTAATTTTAGTTTTATATTACCATATTATATTGTATTAGCCATTAGGTATTTAACTACACAATTTTTTACATAATACTATATTATATAAACAAAGAGAAGAAAATATATATTACTTATATTATTAATACTATAGTTAGGGGGACGAGGTGGCCGAGCGGTCTAACGCGTCGGCTGCGGCGCTGGCAGTCGCGGGTTCGATTCTCGACCACCGGGCGGCATTTTTCTCCGGGCAAGTCACGGTGTCCGGAAAACAAGTGCCGCCATCCCCCCACTCCGGGGCATGGCAGAAACCTACGGGTGCCCCAATAAAAATTCTGCCACCACAAACACACGTGTTTACAAACCAACAGTTCCCTCCCCTACAAACTAACAAAACAGCTAATGGCCATAGTTGCCGGGCTTAATGATCAATGAAAAAAAAAAAAAAAATACTATAGTTAGGTATGTGAGAAATGTATATTACATAAATTGTAAATATTTAATTTATAAGAACTATTTAATGTATTTATATTTCAAATTATGAACTTATGGGCGGCTCCCACACGAACATGTTCAGTGGGGCCATTATCTTCTTGAAGAATAAATAAAAATAAAAAATAAAAATAATTTACAATAGATAACCCTAAACCGATATAGATACTTAGTGCAATGTGTTTTTTTAATTTACATAAGTATTATAGTAGGTATTATATAGTGACTACCTACCTACTATCACTTGGAAGTTAGTACTTATAAGTACATTTTAGACAGTAAAAGGGTATATAATGATAAAATATTACAATTGTCATAATCATTTTGTAACCAGCGAACCTTCAGTGCTACGTTTTCTACGTAATAGGTACACATAATTAAAATATAAATATTTGTATAAGTAGTAGAAGAGAGTGTAATAAATTGAATTTGAAACGTATCATTAAGTGGTTTATTAATTTATATTTTATTGTGATCCAAATTAGCTTAATAATTTAAGATATTAGTCAGTTTCTGTCCCATATTAAGACTGAAAATATGGTAAATAATATCCTTAATAAAATAAGTAAGCTAATACCTAATTAATAACAAATATTATACTAAACACAAAAACCGAGCGTTATCACTAGGTCAAGGGGACTACACGAGGATATAGAATATTTTTATAATATAGCAGTTTAAAACATAAGATGCTCTGCTTATTACTTATTAGACGTATACTTAGTCGTTTAGGCTAAGCCATGTAGTTAAACATTAACATACTAGTTAAAGAGACATGTTAAGACTCAAATTTGTCCGAAAAATTTGGATTATTTAATTCACTATTGTTTGGTTTTATGCATATATCAATAGGTATATGTTTACAAAAGTAGGTATCAAATTCTTTGAATTACCATTAACTAAAGCAGTTTATTCCAATATGGTGGCATTCAGAATATTTGTATGATACTTTCTAGTAGGTACTTTTCAAAACAATCCAGGAAACTAAAAAAAAAAATAAAGGATTAACTACGGAAATTATTAATCAACACTAATTTTTGACAACATATAAACATTTATAAGCATTTAAAGTTCAAATCTTTACTTTATTCAAATTATTTTGAATTAGAAATACATAAAACATTTTCATTTTAAATCTAAGTTTTGAAAATGTAATACAAGATTCTTCATGAGTCTGTCTACATTTATCAAAAAAAAAAAAAAAAATGCCTACAAGAAAGTCAAATTAAATTTTTATGAGCGCTTGAAGTTCATACTTGTACAACATTGCAGGCTATTCACTCGATTTTTCATGCAGCGATTTTCTTATTTTGTTATAATTTAAAAAGAATAACTGTAGATACATTGAATGTTTGTATTCTCATTTTATATACACCATAAAATATTGAAAATATTTTGACTCGTTTTGAATTGT